TGGTAGAAAGTTTAACTGTTGGAAGTAATAGTCTATAATATATAATATTACCCACAATGTCTGTAAAGAAACGAAATAAGTTGATTTATGAAGACCATCATGGGTAGACAAATGACACGAGACTACACACCATCAAATACCCTATGTTAATGTTAGCTGTTTTGGAGTACTAGAATACAATAAAAATAAGTATTATATTGTATACAAATAGTAAAGAAAATATTAATAAATAAATTTTCATCAAGTGGGAAGCGCCATATACCACGGGGTATTTCTGTAATCAAATACTTGTTGGTGATGGACAGCGAACACACCCTGACGGAAGCCTCGGAAGTGCCATACCACCACACGTTGATACTGTCAGTCACTGTCCTCAACCAACAATACCTGAGTCAGTGTTGCGTTAAGGGTCCCATCCTAATGAACCCAAACCTAACTAGATAACATAACTTAATGCAAACTCAACCTAACTTAACCTAACTTAACCTAGCGAACCCAAACGTACTTAACCTAACTAGATACCACAACTTAATCCAATCTAACTCAACCTAACCTAACTTCACCCAACCTAACTCAACATAACCAAACCTAAACTAGGCTTTAACCTAATCTAACCTAATAAGCAACTAGATTAATACACTGGCTTTGTAAATCCAACTAAACCAATAGGATTAAATACCTCACAAATACACTAACATCCTATGATATCCTTAACCCACACTAGGATTGGAGATTTGTAAGCTTAGATACCAATCCTGAGAACTAAGTTGTTACAGATTTAAACAATCCTGGTTAACGAGTCTGATTGCCAGTTCGTCAACCTGTGAACAGCGAATGGTTATGACGTCACATCTGCTAATAGTCTAACTCAGAAAAAAAAAACCCAATCAACTTGGCTGACGGACTCTCTCTAACCGCATATAAACACTAAAAAAAATACTAGAGAAGTTATTGATCAAGTTTGTTAATATTAGTACATTAAGTTTTATATATTACTCTGTCATATGATCACATCCAAGCGAAATAAGCTTGTTAATTGTACCATGGCGACGTGTCTTGTTACCACTAATTCATTATTAAATTCCTAAGTCAAGATGGTTTAGCCATTAATTGATTTTGTTTAATATAATCTTAAAATATATTATAAATTAAGCTTCTCTAAGAAATAACTTACAAATAAAACAGCAATTTGTCACCTATTCATCTGGAAGCATCAAGGGTTGAAGATGGCCAGCGCTTGCTTCATCCTGCTCCAAGAACAAATCCTGTCATAGGATGGCGAGGGTGTGGGCGTCATCCTCCCCAGCATCTGTTAGGATTATCCCCAGCGGCACGTCCGGGGGTGTAATGACACCCGCTTGGCGCTCCCCATCACCAGCAGAAGCGAAAATACTACGCCTAACAGATCGAATGACACTTCTTCAATGTAGCAGACAATATGGCGACCTATCCTGCAGTATGCACCGTGCAGGAGCGTGGGAGGCTGCTGACTTAAATGAAATATTTGTCGAGAAAAATCCTAATAATAACTTTTATTGATATTATATAAATAAACAATATATGATTTAATAAATGCGTAATATTTAGAATTTCATAAAGAATTTGTCTTAATTAATTTATTGATTCTTTAAATACTTGCAATGTCAAAACAAACTTACGAGTACAGTGTATCAGACCAACGTGCGATGTACAAAACTTTTTTTTCATTATAATATATTTAATTATTGACTACTACACTATGTTTCCGGTGTTCTTTATGAGGGATGATGTATATTGTTTTATTTGTTATTATTAGTAAATATCATTTTAAAAAATATATAGACGAAAAAATGACGCTAAATGTAATGTGCTAAAAATACACTTTATACAATATAGTCACCATAATATAATTCCTGTGTTATGTTTATATATTAAATTCTGGGCATTTTTTATAAACTTGTACGACCACCCACCCCAAGTCCCTGGATCCCCTCTCACATAGGCCTCATAAAACATGACAGTTGATGCCCTCGCCAAACAAAGACACCGTTGAATACAATTTGGGTCTGTCAAAAAGAACCCTTAAAACTGTAATTAGGAAAGAACTTATTGATGAGTTTGACGCAAGTAGACTAGTACAAACAGGCACTAGTCGATCCATAGTTTACCATGATGAGATGTATCAAGTGAAATATGTATATGGAGCAAGTCACAAGATCACTAGATTACAAGATGATGTAACCGCTAGATTAAGGTTAGGATATAAGTACCTTTGGCAGTATGTTCCTCAAGCAGATGTAAACAAAACTAAATGTAAAGTGTGTGGCCATACATATGGCCACACACTTGAACACTACGTCCTCGACTGTGTGAAGATGGAACCTTTTAGGGACAGGTCCAAGCACACTGTGTGTGAAATGGCACAACACTTCATCTCTAATGGCAAGATAGCCGACATATTAAGATTGTATCCACTTTTTTGCACTTTGTAACTATATCAGTTCTCATGTACAGAACCAAATACGCAATGTGCTTGAATACTTCTCACGTAAATGTGAATAACAAAGTGTGAGGCCAGACATACTGCCTCACACGCCTGTTCTCACGCAGTTGTGAATAAGTTACCCTTTATGTATAGAACTAAACAAATAATGCAATTGAAATACTGTGTAACATTCAGTGCCATAATATCCTGACAACGGGGGTTAATTATTATGACCCTTTGTAAACTCTACTTTAATCCTTTTGCGCTACCGCTCACAGGATGAGTGTGGGGTGCACAATAAAGTAGCCGCTGTAAGCTGCAAAATCAATAAATCAATCATCTCCCTCACCCTCCTTCACCCTACCCAGCTCCTTCCTCCCTCACCCTCCTCAACTCCTTCCTCCACCCTCCTCACCTCCCTCTCATCTCTTCTCTCACCTGCTCCCTCACCTCTCACCCCCCCCCTAACCTCCACCACCTGTGCCGATGTCTGCCCAATATCCGGCGCTGTGGGGCTTCCTCCTCCTCCTCCTCCTCAATACACCACACGCCCTCCTCTTCCTCTCTCTCTTTGCTTCTTCGCTATCATCTACCTCCTCCTCCTCCTCCTTTCTATCTGTCATGCCTCCTCCTGACATTACCCACATGAATCTGATCGACGTATATGTATGTATGTGTGCGTGTGTGCATGTATATGTGCATGTACGTGTATATGTGTATGTATATGTATGTGTGTGTGTTTACGTATATGTACTGTCAATGAATATGATGTATTTCTTTGTGTATGAACCTCTGTCCTGCCTGGCAGTGAGAAGTGATACCACCCTCAGTGTCAAGACCTGACGGAATTACTCACAATAGGCAAACTGTACTACAAGCTTTGCCAATAAATTTGTTAAACTAAAAACTCCTCCTGCCTCCCTACTGACACATTTCCAATATTTAGTGTCTGTCTGTTAGTGCCTGTCTGTTAGTGTGTGTGTGTGTGTGTGTGTGTGTGTACTTGACTGCTTGTGTCTGTTAGTGCCTGTGTGTGTGTGTACTTGACTGCTTGTGTCTGTTAGTGTGTTTTCTGTCGATGTTTGTTCGCGATAAAAACACCACAAATAATTTGGTGAGGGAGAAAGGAGTGAGGAGTGAGGGGAGTGAGGGGAGGTGAGGGAGAGGGGTGGGGAGGAGGAGGGAGAAGGAGTGAGGGAGAAGGGAGAGGGAGGAGGGAGGGTGAGAGGGGGTATGTGGGGGAGAGTACACTGTGGTGAGGTAACAGTCACACACACACACACACACACACACACACTTCTGCCTAATCGACTCACTTAAGTTACGACATAAAGATAGATTCTCGTTCCAAGATAAGATCACCCCTACCTGAGAGAGAGAGAGAGAGAGAGAGAGAGAGAGAGAGAGAGAGAGAGACCTCAAAGAATCAATTAGGAATAATCTGACTCACAAAGACGAATCTCAGAGGCTGTCCAGTGAGGAAGAGGAGGCTCTGTGATAACATCCACGCCCACCACTAAACCCACGCCCACCACTAAACCCACGCCCACCACTAAACCCACGCCCCCCCACTAAACCCACGCCCACGCCCCACCAAAACCCACGCCCACCACCAAACCCGCCCCCCCCCAACCGCCCGCCCCCATCCGCCTACACCCACGCCCCCACCACTACACCCACGCCCAACTATACCCACGCCCCACCACTATACCCACGCCCCCACCACTACACCCACGCCCACACCACTACACCCACGCCCACACCACTACACCCACGCCCCCACCACTACAACCACACGCCCACCACTACTCTTACGCCCATCACTAATCAAACGCCCACACGCTTACCACTACACCCACGCCCACCACTACTATTACTCTTACGTCCACAACTACTTTCCACACCCACCTCAACCTCCCACGCCCACCACTACCTTCCACGCCTACACGCCCACCCATGCCCACAACTACACCCACGACTAAAACTACGCCCGCATGCCTCTGTGAACACTCTTTCAATCTTTACGTTGACGCCCATGACTACACTTATGTCAACATCTACACCCACCCTATGTTGGCACCCACGCCCACACGCCTCTCTACTGTGTTGTATAAACCTACGCCCACGATGAAAGGGAGTAAAATCGTGGGCGTACAAAGGAAGAGAGAGAGAGAGAGAGAGTCGCTTCAAAGTCGAGTTCCCACTAAGTGCCTCAATTAAAGTGATAATTAAGAAGAGCGGGAGATGGTAGGGTATAGAAATGTTATCTAGTTTAGTTGACCCTCTTATGCTCTTAAGTTTTCTGTGTTCTCATGTACACCCGTTTTCTGTTATTACCGCCTTTGTCCGTGGTGGGAGGGGCGGTGTGAGGTCTGTTGTGCGATGGATGGATGGATGGATGTGTGTCCCTCTCATTCATCTTTCTATCTGTATCTGTCTATCGATCATCACTCGGTCTCTCCTCCCGTAAACGGTATTCTTGGTTTATATTCTCGTATCTTACCTTAAAACAAGAAAACTTCAATAAAACCCAATATATTTCAGTACAATATCTTATAACACCAATAAAACACAAATGATTTCGGTACAATGTTTTAGATTATCACTAAAAACAATTAAAACATCGTAAAACACAATAGCCATCAATGTTTTAACACTAATAAAACAATGATGTCATTTTAGTATTTCAAACAAGAATAAAACACAAATATTCTAATACAATATTTTAAAACACGAATGAAAATATGTCTTATTTATATGTATCCAAGGACAAATTACACGTATCCCTGTCCAATATGACACTTATCATATGTATCTTAGTAGACATGTGTTAGTGAGAAAGAATTTTGATGTAGGTGAAGCTAAGAATGGTACCTTAATTCTTATTACTAATGATAAACAAAGCGAAGAAGTCTTTCATGTTAAATACTTTAGTTTACCCTCTTCATTCTTTCGTTTTCTCTGTTTCAGCCGGGTCTCTCGTCTGTTGTTCTGTTTTGTGTTCTATAGTGACGTTTACTGTTATATCTGTTTTCTTATCTTCAGGTTGATTCCCCGTTTCCTTATTATATGATCTGTTGTCGTCCGTTACTGGGGCTTCTGTTGAGACATCTGTAGCTGTTTTAATTACCATCATAGTGTTGTCTGCCGTTGTAGTCTCCGTTGTAACACTTGGTTCCGTTGTCTTAGGGTCCTCTGTTGTCTTTGTTTCTTCATCCTCCGGCACCGTTTCTACCTGTTTGTTTACATGCGACCCGCCCAGATGTTTGAAGTCAACCGGTTCACCGATTTGCAAACTTTTTACCCTTTTGTTTTTTTTCTTGGTGAAGCTACGGACTCTCTCTCTCACGCCTTTACTCCTGAAGGCTGAGAGGAATACATTGTCCTTTCTCTCGCTGTTACCTTCTACGGTCTTGGCCGAGAGTGATTCCTGGGTGTTGGTATTGATTTTCTCCTCCTTGTCATGGTGTATCAAACTCCCCATTGATTTAGACAGATGCGTCGCCTGAGCTCTGAAGTTTTCATTGATTGGGAATTTCACTCGTGGAGGTTTAGGTGGAGGAGGACCTGTCACTACTTGAAGTGGAGGGAGGTATTCTTGGTATTCGTTGATGTGGACGGCTGGGATTTGGGCGTGGCTTGGCTTGGCTGGGGAGTGGCTTGCTTGGGCTAGGGCGTGGTTTGGCTGGGCTTGGGAGGGGTGGATGTGCGCGGGCTTGGGGGGAGGTATAGAGGGAATTTCTGATTGATTAGTGGTCGATCCTTCCCATACACGAGGGTCCAGGGGCTGTCCCGCCTGTCATGCGAAGGAAGGAGGGAGGTGTTAGTGGTGTTAAGAGGAAGGGGCGGGGCGGGGGTGCTTATAATAAGGGGAGGAAGATGGTAGTAACGTTAGAAGTTATTACCAGACCAGGCAAAGAGGGTGTCAGGGTAAGGTGAGGATACAATACTACTACTTCTCTCTTAAATATCCTACTCGGGAGTGTTAGTCCTTAAGGAACCACTTACCATCCTGAGGAGATTGGCCAGCTCCTGGTTGAGGGCGTTGATGTCGAACCTGACCCTGTTGGGCTGGGGGTCATCACGAGGTCCTACTACCTGGGACCACATATGAGGCTCATGTTGGGGTCCCGCTGATTCTACGCCAGTTACCCCTTTAACCAACCATAAAAGAAAATGGTTGTATTTTTACCAATAACTTAAGTAAATAAAGTCAAAATTACCCCACTGCACCTTGACTCGAATTAATCACCCAGACAGTTAAATCAGGTCATTATATTTATCAATCATATGCGTACAGTATTATAGACAGCAACAGTGATAGTTATATATAGATACTTAGTAAGTTATAAAATCGACACATAAGTAGTTCACATTCGTTCAAGAGCTCTGTATGGGGTTTTATTATGTGTGAATTGATCTTACTCAAGGGGTTAATTTATCGTTCTCAAGGGGTTAAGCTATCGTACACAAGGGGTTAAGCTATCGTACACAAGGGGTTAAGCTATCGTACACAAGGGGTTAACTCATCGTACACAAGGGGTTAAGTCATCGTACTCAAGAGGTTAAATCATCGTAATCAATTCTACATTACTTCCCTCACCTTGCGTGTGTTGGTCATTTCCCACGCTGATGCGGGTCTTGCCACTGCTTCCCACTATCCTCGGCCGTGACGCTGGACGATCTGAAATACGTGATTTATTTACTTATTTTTGTAGTGTGAAATACGTAAGAGTGGGAGAGAGCTTGTGTGATGATGAAATGGAAAAAAAAAACTCACACACTCAAACATCTGAATATTAGAGTGTGTGAGTGTGTGAGTGTAGCTAGAGTGCTTTTGCGTAAGTTTTGATTAACATATACAAGCACAGTTATCTTCCTTATCAACGGAATTAGTGTGTCGCCGATAATCAACCCAGTATCCCCTATGCCAGCTATCAACATATGACCTAAAGCCATTGAAAGTTTAAAAACACAAATATATTCACACCAACTCGGTATCTCAATTTGGCGTAAATAATACCAGCGTTATATTACAGTATGGAAAAATCTCTAGCTAGAAGGGAGAATGGCGGTAGCTGTTTCAACATTACATAAGGAAATGTTGATAGAGCTGACTCACCCAGTAAATATTGTGACGTCACTACACTTCCGCCTCGACCAAGCCATCTTTTACATATTCCCCCTGGGTATTTAATTCGCTTTACTAAGGAGAAAAATTAATGAATTACAAATAATTTATAAACAAAGGATAAAGTACAAAAATCATTGAAATAATCAGTTGAATACAAAAAAGAACGAGAGTATTTACACAGAAGGGAGTTAATTTCTTCGTTAATTCACCAACCAATAGTCTTAGCGCCGTTCTGTTAACACTGAAAAGCTGATCTTAGAATTGTGATTTATTGATAATATTGTTTTTTTTAAGTTGATAATTTAGTTATAATGTATTTAATGGTATAGATTTAATTATAGACTTAAGAACAACACTACTCACTTGGTCAGGACGCTTGCTTATCCAACCCTATACCGAGTTATCTCACCTCACTCACTTTCTCTCTCACCTTGGTACTTGCCAGCGCCAGTAACGTTGTCGAAGTTTATGTTGAGCGAGGTCAGTGCCCGTAATGCCTCGGCTAGTGACTTCTGGGCATCTTCCTCACCGTCTACCTCGTCACCCTTCACCCTGTTATTATCATCTGGTTCACTCCTCTCATCGTCTGCCTCATCTCCTCTGCATTCATCATCTTGACTTCTACTCTCTAATGAATCCCCAGGCGAGCTGATATCATCCGTCTTACCATCAGTCTTTTCTGTCATGTCACTTTCTCCTTGCCTCTTCATGTCACGTCCTTGCATCCTCTTACCATTCTCTTCCAAAGTCATCTCATTCTTTCGTCTCTTCGTATCATCTTTTTCTGTTTTGTCATTTTCTTGTCCATCGTTGTCTGGTTGCATGTTCTCGGTGCTGTCTTGTCTATCGATCTCATTTTCTTTTAGTTTCTGGAGTTTCTTGGTCGACTCTTCCTCGAACGCGTGAAGTGTTTCCAGTAACTTGTTGAGGTCGCTGTCTGGGCTTGTGGGTACTGTGATCTCTGCTTGTTCCGTCTCTCTCACTAACTCATCAATAGAAGTCTCCCCCGTCTCTCTCACTAACGTATCAGCAGAAGTCTCACCCGTCTCTCTCACTAACGTATCAGCAGAAGTCTCCCCCGTCTCTCTCACTAACGTATCAGCAGAAGTCTCCCCCGTCTCTCTCACTAACGTATCAGCAGAAGTCTCCCCCGTCTCTCTCACTAACGTATCAGCAGAAGTCTCCCCCGTCTCTCTTACTAATTCACCAACAGAACTCATATTCTTCAAGGTATTTAAAGTCTTGTGAATAATTTAATCTCTGGGAGTTTCTTGGGTTGATAGTCTATTGTTTCTTATATCGTTTACAATAAAATTTGTCACTACATTTTAGATAATAATTTCCCGACAGCAAACACTCAATATTCCTTGTTATATTTAAAGAAAATCCTTAAGCTTGAACATAATCTAATAACACCACTTTTTGTTCACTTAATGTACAATAAAATCTTCGTGTGATAATAACTGAGACTTTGTGGCAATGCTATCTTGATAACATAAACTGCTTGGCAATGAACTTACCACGTTAATCAAATACAGATTACTCGATCATTTACGCAACTAGAATTATGTTTTATCTTTAAAGTTCATTAAGTGTTCACAGATCATAATATAAACTCCAAATACGAAGGAATTTTTATCAATTTTACGACTTTTATTCAGGGATTCCAGGGCGGTGGATGTGAAGCAACTGGGTAGACTCAGCCCTATATGTCGAAAAACTCGTCACGTTCTTATACTATTTCTCTCATTTCCACATTCTGTCGTCTCTCAAATCATTTCTAAACAATCTTCCATAACTATTTTCAACATTCACTGATATTCCCACACCGCAAAGCGTAAGAAGGAACAAATCAAATTTTTCTCTTGTAGTTTGGACAGCCAGAAACCTTCCTCACTCGCTGCTAGACACTGTAATACCCTGTGACGATTCCCTCTCAAACCCTTCTTATCTCTGGGTCTCTTATCTCACCTTATCACATAATAATCTTCACATATATTGGATGGGTTGGAAACGGTACTGCATACTCCACTCTTGATGAAATATTAATACGGAGGCAAAATGAGTGCGCCAATTACCCCATAGAGTAACGTAGATACGCGCACTAGGCTATTAACCATGAATTACACAAGTTATGGTATTTTGTGATATTTTAAGTCTTGTTATCTTGCTAGAGATAAGATAACACGTGTATTGAGGTCTTCCTTGCCTGACTACAATCTTATCTTGTTCAGGTATGTAGCGAAATGTATATGCTTTTCCATGTGTGGGTGTGTGTATGGGTGTGTGTGTGTGCCTGGGTGGGTGGGGTGTGTGTTGAGAGGAAGAACCTTAGCATTAATTAAAAAAGAAAGATTTATATAGCCTTTGTCAAATCAATTATGGACTACCCACCCATCCCATTAAACACACTTAGTAAAACGAGCATAAAAAGGTTACAAACAGTACAAATTTAGCCCTCAGATTTATATATAACATGAAATATGCAGACCATATCAATTGTAAACGCCTTAGTTAAGGACGTTCAGGTGACGGGCAAGTCGAAGGGAATGATTGAAACCCGTCTTTTGACGCATTCAATATTTATTGATGTGGTCAAAACCTGCAGACAATAATGCGTTCATTAGTATTACATGGTGATCTATCTGATACATAATTAGTTGGTCTCCCATTTATCTTAATTTAATTGATTATTGAGCATAATGACATGATACAAAGTTCATAACTATTAATCTGTACACTTCATTCCGCGTTGTAGTATTGCTCCAGATAAGGCAGGAACGAGCATAATTCGTCCACAATATTTCAGTACTGAGGGTTATGTCATTACTTTATTGCATCATGGGATGGTGTTTCAAGGGAAGATAGTTCTGTGTAAATGGTTTGCACAAAACTCGGCCAGGATTGGGAGTTGTTGTTGTTCACCACTGCTAACAGTGTTGATCCTCACAGCCTCACTTGAGGCAGTCTCCCGGAGTCCAGGTGGCCACAACGCCTTTTAAATCATACATTAGCAGAGTCGTGATCTCTCCGCCCACCCCAATTTTGTTGGTTAAGGCAGCAAAATCGTCAGTACTGACACTAGTGTTGACGCCAGCGATGAAACACCCGGCGCGCTCTTACCGCAGTGATGACAGACCCGGTGGTACAGAGTCCAGGTGGCCACGCCGCCGTAAACACCGCTTATATCTTTGTTCGCAGCAAAACCGTCAGCACTGACGCCAGTGGTGAACACCCCGGCGATGCTACACTTACGCCAGTGGCGCACATCTTTCGAGGCAACAGGTCGCGCGGTGGGGAAGAGGGGATCACTCGAGAGGGCGATCTGTGTCATGAGATCCATGACGCCTCTCAGCACTCATGCCAGTGTTTTGACACCCGGTGGAAACACCGCCTGTCGCTACATCTGGTGTGGTAACAGGTGACTTTTGCTTGAGCGAGCATTTACGTCCCACACTCATCCTGTGAGCGGTAGCGCAAAAGGATTACAGAGTAGGGTTTACAAATGGTCATAATAATTAACCCCGGTTGTCAGGATATTATGGCACCGAAAGTTACACAGTATTTCATTTACATTATTTGTTTAGTTCTATACATAGAGGGTAACTTATTCACAAATGCGTGAGAACAGGCGTGTGAGGCAGTATGTCTGGCCTCACACTTTATTATTCACATTTACGTGGGAGGTATTCAAGCACATTGCGTATTTGGTTCTGTACATGAGAACTGATATAGTTACTGAGTGCAAAAAAGTGGATACAATCTTAATATGTCGGCTATCTTGCCATTAGAGATGAAGTGTTGTGCCATTTCACACACAGTGTGCTTGGACCTGTCCCTAAAGGTTCTATCTTCACACAGTCGAGGACGTAGTGTTCAAGTGTGTGGCCATATGTATGGCCACACACTTTACATTTAGTTTTGTTTACATCTGCTTGAGGAACATACTGCCAGAGGTACTTATATCCTAACCTTAATCTAGCGGTTACAACATCTTGTAATCTAGTGATCTTGTTACTTGCTCCATATACATGTTTCACTTGGTACATCTCATCATGGTAAACTATGGATCGACTAGTGCCTGTTTGCACTTGTCTACTTGCGTCAAACTCATCAATAAGTTCTTTCCTAATTACAGTTTTAAGGGTTCTTTTTGACAGACCCAAATTGTATTCAACGGTGTCTTTGTTAGACGCGAGTTTGGCGAGGGCATCAACTCTGTCATGTTTTGTGAGGCCTATGTGAGAGGGGATCCACAACAGTTTGACCTTGACACCCCGGTCAACAAGGCACGCATATTTGTGTCTGGCTTCAGAGACAAGATCGTGACAACCTGAGTCGAGGGTACCAAGGGCAAGTAGTGAGGATAGAGAGTCAGTGATGATGAGACTGTCAGTAACAGTGGTTTCAATGAATTTAATAGCTGTGAGTATGGCAACTAATTCAGTTTGTAGAGTGGATGCCCAGTTGTTAATTCTAACTCCTTTCTCAGTTATATTACCGTCAGGTTGAGTCACAACAACAGCACTTCCAGCCCTCCCACAGGCGGTGTTTAGGCGCGTGTGGGGTGGGGGAGGCACATGGTTGTTGACACCAACGATAAAGCCAGCGGCGATAACACTCCCGGCGTTGTGCAATCGCCCAAGATTTACGGTGTGGCGTGTTCAAGAAGGCATACACGGGTCGCTGGCCTTCGGAACTCCCCAGATACTGTTTGCACACGTACCTGGCGCACCAGATCATCAGCTCCTGGGACCACTGCCGTGACCCTGCCCAATGGCCATTTGTTGAGAGGAAGATTTTCCCCAGTGACGAGGACGAGGTCGCCTTCCTGTAGATTTCTGGTTGGTTCTATGTACTTCTGTCTTTTGCGGAGTTGTGGAAGGTACTCCCTCACCCAGCGTTTCCAGAAGCGGTCTGCTTGGAACTGCACGTGTATATGTATGTAGAGCCTCCAACACCTCAAGGTTCACTGCACGAGTAGCTAGACAGGTGAATATGCAGCCATATCTCTTGGTACTCTTTCGTCCTTGTCTTACTGTGAATGGGCCAAAGCAATCAGTGCCAGCGTAAGTGAAGGGACACTCCCCGGGCTTGGTCCGGTCTTCGGGCAGCATGGCTTCCCTTTGCCTAGTGGGCTTCCAATTGTTACGGCGGCAAGTGACAAACTCCTTTATTATCTTATCGAGCAGAGGGTGGCAACGGGCTATACAGAACTCACACCGGAGTATGGACAGTGTATGTTCTCTCCCTGAATGACCAGCGCCCACCGCGTGTGCTTCCCGTGCTATAAGTTTGGTTACTGGGTGGTCTCTGGGCAGTAGTATTGGTCCAGTTCTTTCTTTGGCATCTTGTAACCTTCCTCCTACTCTGAGCAGCCCGTCTTGGCCTAGATATGGCTCTAGTCGGTACAGTTGACTTTGTCGTGGCAGTTTTCGGTGCTGCAGGAGGCTCATCTCCTCACCATAGGCCTCCTGTTGCAGGAACCGAATAATGGCCCACTTGGAATTCCGCAGTTCAGGCAATTCCAGCGGCTTTGATGTTGCACCCTGAAAGTCGTGTCTCAGGATGCTGGATACTCGCCTGATCCAGGATACACCTCTCTGCAGCGCATGCCATGATGAGTACCTGTTTCATAGCAGCTTCATGATGGCATCAGCATTATTTCCTGCTGTGGCTAATGACACCGTCTCGAGCTTAACCTCAGGATCGTTCTCAAGTTCGTGTCTGATTTCCGGTTTTTTCGGCCAGTACTTCTCAGGTAGAGACAAAAAAGAAGGACCATCACTCCATCTGCATTCTTTTAACATGTCTTCAACAGGTATGCCTCTTGTAGCATCATCTGCTGGATTCCATCGTGATCGTACATGTCTCCATTGGGCCTTTTCCGTGACTTCATGTATAGCCGAGATCCTGTTGGCAACGAAGGTATGGAAACGTTTCTCTAGGTTGCTGATGTACATGATCACAATCATACTGTCCGTCCAGAACACAGATTCTTCAAGTGGGACTCCAATTTCACGCTTGATTGTCTGGTCTACTCTTGTCGCCAGGACTGCTGCACAGAGTTCTAGCCTTGGGACCGTTAGCTGTTTGAGAGGGGCCAGACGAGCCTTGCCACAAACGAAAGAACATATGGCAGTACCTTCATTATCTACTGTCCGTAGGTACGTTACAACTGCATAGGCCACTTGTGAGGCGTCACAGAAGTCATGGAGTTGCGATGAGGTGGCACAACCCAGGCCCCCAGGTCTGTAGCAGCGAGGAACTTTGAAGTTTCGCAGCGATTTCAAATCTTCAAGCCACCGCAACCACTTATGAAGGGTTTGCTTGGTGATGTCTTCGTCCCAGTCCTTCTTCCGTCTGCATTCGTCTTGAAAAATGTGCTTGGCTTTGATGGTGAAAGGGCAGATGAATCCTAAAGGGTCGTACACCGAGCTTACCACTGCAAGTAAGCCCCTTTTTGTCGCTGGTTGGGTGGGAGCCTGAACCTTTGCTGCAAACTGGTCTCCATTTAGGTCCCACATGACTCCCAAAGCTCTCTCCGTGGGTAGGTCTTCACATCCCAGGTTCACTTCCTTCACTCCAGTATGTCGACTTTCAAGTGGTATCGTGTTGAGGACCTCTTTGTTGTTGCTGATCCATTTTGTGAGTTTGAAACCTCCCAGGGATGGAAGATGTCGCAACTGCCGAGATATCGTAATTGCTTCTTTTGGTTCAGTTACTGACAGGAGCAGGTCGTCTACATAGAAGTTTGATTTCTCTCTATTTGCGGCATCCGAGAACCCATCTCCGAAGTCTTGGAAGGTCCGTTGCAGAGCATAGGCCGCGCACGAGGGACTCCACACTCCTCCGAAGAGATGCACTGTCATCCTACATGTCATTAGCGTTTGTGTCAAATCTCCATCTTCCCACCAGAGGAATCGTAAAGTGTCTCTGTGCTCGGGGTTTACCTTCACTTGATGGAACATTGCTTCGATGTCGGCCATCAGGGCGATCGGCTCTTGTCTAAACCGCATGAGTACTCCAATCAATTTGTTGTTGAGGTCTGGTCCTTGGAGCACTTGGTTGTTGAGTGAAGTCTTTGTGAAGGCTGCTGCACAATCGAAGACGATCCTTACCTTGTCTGGTTTATTGGGGTTTAGTACTGGGTGATGAGGCAGGTACCAGCTATTTCCACCGGATTTCGATAATTGCCTTAGTGGCACCCTTTCGGCGAAGCCTTCATTGAATAATTTTTTCATCTCCTCCTTGTACCGTCGTCTCAACCTTGTGTCCCTCGATAGGCGTTTCTTTAGTCCGAGTAAGCGACGCTCGGCGAGCGCTCTGTTGTCAGGTAGGCAGGGCGGTTGACGTCGGAATGGAATTGGGAATTGGTAGTGTCCCTGTACTCTCTGTCCAGTCGTCGACCAAAGCTTGATGGCCCGTTTATCCTCGACCGATGATGGGGAGCCATCTCCCGGGGTCTGGTGTAATGCTTCGATTTCCCAGAAGCGCCTCACCAGCTCTTCCAAACGAGTTTTTTTCTGTAGAGCCAGTCAGCATGGAACATTCCGTTGTAAACCTTAGAGTTAAATTGCCCATCAGGGGCCCATTAATCGTCCAACCCAATCTTGTCCTTATTGCAAAAGGTGCTCCATCCGGCCCCGTCCGACACTCGAGGGGAGTCAGGGCATCTGGGCAATCTTGTCCAATCAGTAACTCTGAGACTCGAAGATGTCTCCAAGCATCTATGTCTAGGGGTGTAGCTGTTGAGTTTTCTGAAGAAGGTGGCAGTCTGTCAAGTACTAGTACCTTAGGAAGGGATATGGGGCACTTCGCTCCCCGGGTGTTAATGCCTCTTACTTCCAGATCTACTTCTGTGGTGTTACATTGTTCCCCTTGGGTTAACGTGTTTATGAAGAGTGATGTTGGTTCCCTCGTATTCTTAGTCTTTCGACCAGTCCTTTGGCACAGTAAGACCTGTCGCTGCCTGTGTCCAGTAGCGCCGTGGTTCTCTCTGATCCTGTAAACCCCTTTGCCATTATTTGAACTTCTAGTATAGGGAGCGCGACCTTGTCTTGGCTTAGTCATTGATCTCGCCCTCTTACAGTAGTATCCACGTAATTCACATATGTCCTCTCTCCTTGCTTGTTGTCGGCTTGGTCGAACCGCCTCAGCTGATTGCCTTGGTCATCTTCTTGGGGCTCTCTTTTTCTATTCTTTCTTCCTCCTGTTCCACCATTCTGTTCTCTATCTTCGAAGTCACAGTCCTGGCTCTCTCTCTTGAATCCTCGGTCTTCCTAAACGTCAGCATCTACCCTATTCGATTTTATGATCTGGCGGCTGCTCCCACTTGCCTTCCTTGGCGGCACACCTGCCCCTTCCTTTGGCAGGTGGAGCCATCTTGAATGTGCCTTACCACACCCGTCGATGTCGCATGGGCGGAAGCCAGACATACAGTTGCTAGCTTGGTGCCGGCCCCTTAGGCACAAGAAGCAATAGCCCAACTCTTTGACTGTGTACCTTTTTTCCATTTTTGTTAACTTCCGGAAGTTTGAGCATTGTGGCAGTCGATGAGGGCTATGACAAAGTGGACAATCTCGTTCTCCTACGTCGTTGGTCACAAGAGTCATGGCTTGTTTGCTAGATCGGTCTTTTCCCTCGTACCTCAGGCTAGTGTAACGAGTATGCGTCCTTTTTGCCTCCTTCGCTCTGCTTTGTATGAACTGCCAGATGTCCCTTAATTTCATGTGGCCATATCTCTTTGGAGGGTGATCGAGGACTGCAATCTCACACCTTTCTTGTAAACGACCAAGAAGTCTGTCAATTATGCCTTTTTTTACGAGGAGATGCTCGAGGGTTTCTTGTGAGTCCATGGACTGGAAGCTGCAAATGCACGCCTGAAGTTCGTCGGCCAAGTCCTGCAGGCCTTCGCCGTTGGTTATTTTGACAGGTGGTCCGTTGATCAGGTTCATCAATAATTCTTCGATATGGGCGTCTTCGTCACCATACCGGTCCTTCAGGGTACTCAGTGCCTTTATATAGCCCTCAGAGGACTTCATCCTGGTGAATGGGTTCAGAATATTCCGAATATTACTTGAACACGAGTGGATTAACAATTGAAGTTTCTCCGAATCTGGGGCAGTGGAGGTTCCCACGTATCTCTTGAAGCTATTCATGCAGTCCCAATATTCTCCACAGCTCCCCCCCCCCCCTTGAAAGTAGGGCTGCGCGCATTTCGCATGTGGTAGGATGACAACATATCCTTCATTGAAGTTGAGGTGCTGCCGGATTCTTCCTTGACGCCCTACTTCTCTCTCCTTTCAGGCTGCTCCATTTCAACTCGTTCAAGCCTTCGTCTTTGTCGGTCGATTCCTCATGGCCCTTGGGGCGTCCAGTCATCACAGTGGGAGACTTGCCAAGAGTCCCCCCTGATGTTGTCTTCAGCCTGGGTTGGTCGCTCCCTTCGTCCAAACGTCGTGGTGTGTTCCCTTTCGCAAATTATGCTACTAGCATTTCAGTCACAGTTCGTCGTACTTCTGCCATTATGTTAGATCCGGGATTTTGGTCAGGTGCTAAGCATTCAGACTCAGGCAGAGGGTGGCCTCTTTCAGCTTCTGTGGCCGTAACATCGTGGTCGTTCAATTCTGGAGGGACAACTACTGCCTCTGGGCCTTGGTCACCTTCATCCATGTTCACATTTCCCTTTCGTTGCTCTTGATCCATTCCCGCTACCTCTGGTCCTCTTATTGAGAATTATTTTCAGCTCTGGTTAGGTCTCAAAGTTTGTTCGATGAACCACTGCTCACTGACTGTATTTGCATTCGGTTGTGTGGCTCGCTGCTTGTATGTATGTTTGACAATAGTTGGTCACTGTTGGTTGCTTATGGTGTTACAAGCGACACTTCACTGTCGGTTACTTACGGTGTTACAAGTGAATCACTGCAGGTTGTTTACGGTGTCACAAATTGGGGTGATATTAAGTTAATTTAATCACACTTACCTCGTAATTCGTTAAGTAGGTTATTTGTTAACTCAAACCCGGTCAGCTGCCCGTTACGATCACTGGTATAATCACTGGGAGGGTGGGTTTGCCTCACTGGGTGCGTGAGCCGGCTTGTTTCAAACAAACGCTCACAGCACCATACGATTGAACCGAAAACCTGATGACAACCCCTCAGATATTTACACACTTCATTCAAACACACGACACTGTCTACCGCGCCGATGTCCCCACCCACTGTGGGCAGATGGCTGATTGACGATCTACGTTGTTCCACGCTGAACTCCTGGTTTGGTGACGTGTCCTGTGGTCATTTTTTTCTCCTGGTAGTTGAGTATTTCCTTCGATGCCCTCCAGCATTTCTTTTGACTGTAAACGCCTTAGTTAAGGACGTTCAGGTGACAGGCAAGTCGAAGGGAATGATTGAAACCCGTCTTTTGACGCATTCAATATTTATTGATGTGGTCAAAACCTGCAGACAACAGGGCGTTCATTAGTATTACATGGTGATCTATCTGATACATAATTAGTTGGTCTCACATAATTTATCTTAATTATAATTGATTATTGAGCATAATGACATGATACAAAGTTCATAACTATTAATCTTAGCTACACTTCATTCCGCGTTGTCGTATTGCTCCAGAGAAGGCAGGAACGAGTGGGCATAATTAGTCCACAATATTTCAGTACTGAGGGGTATGTCATTACTTTGGCTGTACTTACAAGTGCGGGTCAATGCGAGCCAGTATGGTGTTTCAAAGGAAGATAGTTCTGTGTAAATTGTTTCAGTACAAAACTCGGCCAGGAATGGGAGTTGTTGTTGTTCACCACTGCTAGCAGAGTGTTGATCCTCACAGCCTCACTTGAGGTGGCAGTCTCCTGGAGTCCAGGTGGCCACACCGCCTTTTAAATCATACATTAGCAGAGTCGTGATCTCTTCTCCGTAAACACCGCTCACCCCCTAATCTTTGTCGGGTAAGGCAGCAAAAACGTCAGCACTGACACTACTAGTGTTGACGCCAGTGATGAAACACTCCCGGCGATGCCAGCACTTACGCCAGTAGTGATGACAGTCCCGGTGGTACAGAGTCCAGGTGGCCACGCCGCCGTAAACACCTCTTATCTTTGTTCGGGTAAGGCAGCAAAAACGTGAGCACTTACGCCAGTGACGATGACACTCCCGGCGGTAACACTTCCCCCGTCAGCTGCCACATCTGTCGAGGCAACAGGTCGCGTGGTGGGGGTAGGATCACTCGAGAGGGCGATCTGTTGTGCCATCAGATCTATGACGCCCTCACAGCGCTCACGCCAGTGGTGATGATACCGGTGGTAACCCCCCCAGTCGCTACATCTGGTGTGGTAACAGGCCGCGTGTGGGGTGGGGGAGGCATGGTTGTTGACACCAACGATAAAGCCAGCGGCGATAACATCAATAACGAACAGCTACACAAGAGAGCAAACCTCCTCGCAATCAATGTAGAAATACACAACAAAGCCGCAAATATTTGCAACAAAGTGACTGAACTCAACACAGAAACTTACCAAAATTGGATAAATAATATAGACAATGAAGAATTCCAAGAACACAGTTGGTGAATGAGTGTTGGTGAGTGGTACTAAGTGAGTGGTGGTAAGTGAGTGGTGGTGAGTGAGTGGGTGGTGAGTGAGTGATGGTTAGTAAGTGAGTGAGTGTTGGTGAGTGGCATAAGTGAGTGTTGGTAAGTGAGTGGTAGAAAGTGAGTGGTGAGTGAGTGGTGGTGAGCGAGCGAGTGGTGGTGAGTGAGCGAGTGGTGGTGGTGAGTGAGCGAGTGGTGGTGGTGGGTGAGTGGTGGGAAGAGTGGTGTTTGTGAGTGAGTGTTGGTAGGTGAGTGGTGGGAAGAGTGGTGTTTGTGTGTGAGTGGTGGTGAGTGATTGATTTGATTTTGCCGCTTGCAGCGGCTACTTTATTGTGCGCCCCACACTCATCCTGTGAGCGGTAGCGCAAAAGGATTACAGAGTAGGGTTTACAAAGGGTCATAATAATTAACCCCCGTTGTCAGGATATTATGGCACTGAATGTTACACAGTATTTCATTTACATTATTTGTTTAGTTCTATACATAAAGGGTAACTTATTCACTAATGCGTGAGTACAGACGTGTGAGGCAGTATGTCTGGCCTCACACTTTGTTATTCACATTTACGTGAGGGGTATTCAAGCACATTGCGTATTTGGTTCTGTACATGAGAAATGATATAGTTACTAAGTGCAAAAAAGTGGATACAATCTTAATATGTCGGCTATCTTGCCATTAGAGATGAAGTGTTGTGCCATTTCACACACAGTGTGCTTGGACCTGTCCCTAAAAGGTTCTATCTTCACACAGTCGAGGACGTAGTGTTCAAGTGTGTGGCCATATGTATGGCCACACACTTTACATTTAGTTTTGTTTACATCTGCTTGAGGAACATACTGCCAAAGGTACTTATATCCTAACCTTAATCTAGCGGTTACAACATCTTGTAATCTAGTGATCTTGTTACTTGCTCCATATACATGTTTCACTTGATACATCTCATCATGGTAACCTATGGATCGACTAGTGCCTGTTTGCACTTGTCTACTTGCGTCAAACTCATCAATAAGTTCTTTCCTAATTACAGTTTTAAGGGTTCTTTTTGACAGACCCAAATTGTATTCAACGGTGTCTTTGTTCGACGCGAGTTTGGCGAGGGATCAACTCTGTCATGTTTTATGAGGCCTATGTGAGAGGGGATCCACAACAGTTTGACCTTGACACCCCGGTCAACAAGGCACGCATATTTGTGTCTGGCTTCAGAGACAAGAGCGTGACAACCTGAGTCGAGGGTACCAAGGGCAAGTAGTGAGGATAGAGAGTCAGTGATGATGAGACTGTCAGTAACAGTGGTGTCATGGGTTGCGTTAGGCTTACCCACGCAACCAACTCCAAAGTTTGTTTTACCAGAGATAAGACGCCCGGCGAGGCATAACTGGGACATGTATTTTTCAATTAGTGTATGTCAGCCAGCCTTTAGGGGGGTGGGCAGTGAAACAGTGTTGTACTGTTCATCGCTTCACACCCAAAAACCTCATTTTGAGTAGTATCCCCTGAGCCATGGGTTAGTTAAGACGTCGTCTCCATCCTCTCCCTCCTGAAAGGGGGTGGGACACCACACCACACAGAGTCCTCCACCGCCACTCCGTCCTGTGAACCGTCGTCGACACGAGACTAAGC